TCATAATGCATACCTTCGAGATATACTTAATTATGGACCACGTGATCCTCTCCCCGCCAATCACAGGAGTCAGCTGACTGTAAAGAGTTTTGTATTGTGGTTATAAATTTAAATATAACTAACCCGGGGAAACCCTGAAAAAAGGTATTTTGTAGGGGTTTTGTTGTTCTGTCACAATACTACCAACTGAAACAACGAGTGCAGCGTGGGTCCCACCTCGGGCTTCAACAAGTATAAAAGATAATGTCGTTTTAAAAAAGTAGGAATCAGTTAAAGATGGGGAGAAGAAAATTTGCTAAAACATAATTATATTAAAATCAACTGGACAAGGATGAAATTTTCAGTCAAAAAAAAGAAGATATAACAGTAATTTTAAAAAAAAAGAAAATAACATTGCAGTTGGCTACTACCGAATGAATATCCGTGAGCCCAAACAAGTTCAGAACCCCATTGTCCCCCTGCTCCCTCACCGTGTGTACTGTATATAAGACTGGAAACTTCCATCACTTCTTTAGACAAACCGACAGCAGCAGTCCCAGTACGACTTCCCCTATCAACATGAAAGTGGGAAGTTCACTTGTATTTAGGTAACGAGAAATCGCATCTCACAGCCTAATATGTAGAAAATATTTTTAAAGATTGTTGTTGTTATTGATGAGGTTACTAAGGCCACGACAGCTTGTGCGAGATGACCGCGCTTTAGACATTCTCTTTGTTTTTACATTAAATGATGCTGAAGTTGCTTGGCGCAGAGAAAGTAACACGTAGCACGTAATATACAGATGAGAACGTTTGACTCAGAAACCAGGGAGTCTATAACCGTGCAAAGTTATACCTTTAACAGTAGAATCACAAGGTTTCTATTGTATCAATGCGGACACGACACCAGGGGTAACCGATATATTAATTGAGTAGGAAACAACTCTAGACATATTTGTAAAAGGGATCAAACATTCCAAAATATAATTTGCGTTTTAAGGAAGTCAGCATGAAAATAAAAAACACTGTCTAAGAGGAATAATGAACGCAATACATATAAAAGGCCGGAAGTTCCCAAGAAGTTGGCAAGTAATCGCTTTTCAAACTGGTCAAAAATTGAGGAATAATTGTATTGTATAAAAGGCTAAGAACACGTGGTTCTAAGATGATGAAAATTTAGACTGTTTCTTGTGTTCAGGTCGTTGTGCTAATCTACTGACGGTGGCAGCAGCACATGACCTATAAAGATGCCCTATTAAAACTTTACAATACCTTGCGGTTACCTGGAGAGGGTTTTCGAGGGGGGAATGCCCCCGCGGCCCGGTCTGTGACCAGACCTCATGGTGGATCAGGGCCTGATCAACCAGGCTGTTACTGTTGGGTTTGCCCCGACTCTTTTCCCTCCCCCACCTATCTTCAACTATCCCCCACTTCCCCCTCGCCCCTAGGGTCCCCCGCCTGTAGTCCCTTCTTTCTTTCCGATATTTAGACAAACTGGATGGTTGGTTAGTTTAAATAGGTGAAGAAGTAGGGGTAACCAAAGATGGGGAGGATTAGACAGTCCTAGCCTCAACAAGTATGAAAGTGACATAAATGGCTTAGAAAACCGACAAATTGAAGAATTAGATTTTTTTTGAGGGAAAAGTTTCGCCTACAATTGAGGGACTGATTTCCTCAAACTCTTCATCTTCCACCATTCATCTCTATACCGGACTGACGAAGCCATTATGTTGCTGAGACGTTTCCACAATGAAGATTCCCAAATTGCTGCAAAAGTGTCTTAATTCTTCAAGAATTTAAAAACAAAGTGAACAATAAGCCAAATAAATACACAGTAACTATACAATAAATACACAGTAACATATACAATAAATACACAGTAACAAATACAATAAATACACAGTAACATATACAATAAATACACAGTAACATATACAATAAATACACAGTAACAAATACAATAAAAACACAGTAACATATACAATAAATACACAGTAACATATACAATAAATACACAGTAACATATACAATAAATACACAGTAACAAATACAATAAATACACAGTAACATATACAATAAATACACAGTAAACATATACAATAAATACAACAGTAACAAAAACAATAAGATCAAACAGCTGATATCACAATATGAAAAACAAATACTGTAAAAAATAATGAACTTTCAAGCGCTTTCGTGATTTTTTCACAATTCCCCCGATAATGTAAGAAATCACGAAAGCGCTTGGAAGTTCACTATTTTTTTTCAAAATGGTTATTTTGCATGCAACATATGGTTAGTTACCCAGGATAACTTCCCAAAAATCAGACATGTGATTTATTTCCACTGGTGTCCTTGACTAATTTACATTGGTGTCTTTGACTTATTTTCCCCTGGTGTCCCCTTTTTTCCATTGCTGGGCTTTGACTATTTCCATTGGTGTCCTTGACTTATTCCATTTGTGTCCTTATTTCCATTGGTATCTTTGACTTATTTCCACTGGTGTCCTTATTTCCATTGGTGTCTTTGACTTATTTTTCCCTTGGGGTCCTTGACTTATTCCATTTGTGTCCTTATTTCCATTGGGGTCTTTGACTTATTTCCATTGGGTGTCCTTGGCTAATTTCCACTGGGGTTTCCCTTTACTTATTTCCATTGGTGTCCTTATTTCCATTGGTGTCTTTGACTTATTTCCATTGGTGTTTTTGGCTAATTTCCACTGGTGTCCTTAACTTGTTTCCATTTGGGGTCCTTGACTTATTTTTCCCTTAGTGTCCTTATTTCCATTGGTGCTTTTTACTTATTTCCACTGGTGTCCTTGACTTATTCCATTGGTGTCCTTATTTCCACTGGTGTCCCCTTGACCCTTATTTCCACTGTGTCCTTGGGTTGAGGCGCCGATTTGCTGTTATAGATTCCTAGGAAAAGTTCTCTTGGCTCGCTCACCCACAGATTCCTAGAACAGTTCTCTTGGCTCGCTCACCCCACAGATTCCTAGGACAGTTCTCTTGGCTCGCTCACCCACAGATCCTAAACAGCCTCTTGGCCTTCACCCACAGATTCCTAAAAATTTCTTGGGTCTCTCCCCCCCAC